AATTGAGATATAAGTTGAAGTATTTTTATCCAAAATTTCATAAAGATTAGTAAAGGCGTTTTAGAGTTAATTTTTTTTATTTATTATGCAATAATTGTGTAGGGCAGTGTATTTAAAAATATTGTGATTTATAATTATTTTAATAAAAACTATTATATTATTGAATGAATTATAAGTCATTATTTAAAAATATTGTCTAAATTTATAATTATAGGCAAATTTGATTTAAAAGACCTAGACCATAGTTGAGGAGCATCCGTGGAAAACCGGCTATATCCATTTTAATAAATGTTGGAAAAATTTAGGAAAACTAAACCAAATTAAAAGTTGAAAAATAAAAAAAAGAAGTGGGGAAAATTGCTATTTAGTTTAGCATCCTATAAACAAGAAAAATGTATTACCAACCAAATATTGTTTTATAGCTACATTATAAAGTTAAAGCTGCCTTTTTCGTAGATAAAATATTACTTTAACCAAAACGGTTGATAAAATAATATTGTAATGGTAAGTATAAATGGAAAATCCTTATCTAAAAAGAACCAAGCGCCAAAAACTATTTTTGGACTTAACAAAATTTTTTGTAAAATAACTCATTTTTAATAATGCTCAAAAAGTTTATCATTATTTAGAACTTCTTTTAAATTATTGAGAGGACTTTCAAATTATAATTAAGTTTTTGAGCAGCATTAAAAATGAGTTAGGTATATACAAATAAGTTTGTTAAGCTCCGAACAAGTTTTTGGTTCCTTTTAGATAAGCACTATCCAAATAAAGAACCCAATTTCTTATTGTTGTTTGGTCGTTTGGTCGTTGTTTGCCATGTATAAATAAATTGACCAGTTGTGAATGTTAATTGACAAATTGCCATGAGAAGTTATCTGTCAAAAAGCAGTTTTTGCAATTCAATGTTACATTAAAATGATATTTAATAAAAATAATTTTTAATTTATTTCATACCGCTATTTGAAATTTTTTTAATAAATTAAAAATTATTTTTATTAAAATTGGAAATGTTTCAAATAAATTAAAAATAATTTTTATTTAAATTATTTAATGTAACATTGAATAATAATAATAATAATATATACAAATCCCCTTGTTTCCCCAATTAAAACTATGTAAAATATATGGACAACTTGTAAAATCGCCCCAAAGAAAAATGCATTCCAAATAATATTTCAAAAATAAATAATTCTTTAAAATTAAGTATATTACGAAATTATTTAACAAAACATTGCCTTTTAATCCACGCCATGTAGTGAACAAAACATAATTTTGGGAATATAACATTTATTTTGAAAATCAGTAGATATAAATTTAAGAATCCCGCATTATTTTCCCCGCCTTCCTATCAAAAAGTCATCGACCGTTTAGTCCCCATTGTTGCCAGATGTACGGGCTTCGTATACTGCGTAATACTTATACAAAGCTGTATATAATCTCCTTTGACTCGTGTGCCCCCTACCGCCAAAGCATTGGAACTAAGGGTGTATATTTTGATAGGTTTGAATGGCATTAGGAAGCCCACCACTTTTTCGCCATTGAAACAAGGGGGCATCACTTAACTCTAAAACAAATTTATACACGCTAATTTTAGGAAGCCCAATTTCGGGCTTCGTAAAAACCTAGTGGGCTTCGTTTATACTGTAGAATGTAACGTTTCGGGCTTGGTAATGTAGGATTGCATATCTATATATATATATATATATACAGGAGTCCGTTTGTGATCGGAAATCGGATTATTGAATTTACTAGTATCAAAACCCCTTAAATCCGTTTTGATAAAAATGAGATTTATGCATTCAAATATTCCTACCTATCAATATGCATAGAAATGGTTACAAAAGCCATCAAATATTTATATAAAAAAAATGAATATATACATTTGTGGCTTGTTCAACCATTTGAATGCACAAATTGATAGGTTTTTTTAATGCATGGTTCTCATTTTTCATCAAAACGGATTTAAGGGGTTTTGATAATAGGGGATTCAATTGGTCTAGCATATTTCAGAGATTGCTAAGTTTCAGGTGTATTTGTGCTTCTCGTAGAAGCGCTTGACTTGCTCTTCTGAGGATGGTGTCTGTTTTGGAGTTCTTCTTGTGAAACTTCGGTTTGATGTTTTTTGTCTCCACAACGTTCCAAGAAAGCTAGGGTGCAGAGTAGTTTGCTGCGTTTTGATCGAATGTTTTCGAATATTCTTGTTCGTTTTGTTGTCTCGTCCCCGTAGAGTTGGGTTATGTTCTGCTTTAGGTTTTCACGGGCGTTATATGTATTAAGTAAAGTTAAACTCGCAGCAGAGCAGAAACAGTAGCCCAGCAGATAAGACCTGAAGATGGTACATGAGATTTACCGAAACGTCGTCCGACATACGGTTCTTTGAAGAACTAAAAACTGACAAAACGGAGCAGATCACTTAATCCTCGAATTGAAATCCTCGACTGAAGTATAGAGCATAAAATATTCATTTTTACATGGCCCGAATACCTCCACGTAAGACATAATGAATAACATCCATCATGATGCATCATGCTGCAGCACGAGATTGGAACACTTGACTCAGGTGTAGAAATCATAACCCGTTGAGAAGTATTCAGCACCTTAAATTTTCTATATCGAATTCCTATTTATCACAAAATATTTAAAGATTATGAAGGTAAAAACGTAATATTCATCAGCACGAGATTTGGACGCTTATCTCAGATGTAGACATCAGAAGTTCTGATCCCGTACGATCCCCTACGAATTCTTGAAAACCATCCTTCCGACTAGTGTGAAGTCCGAAAGATATCGTTCGTTAGCTTGTTTGTTGTTTTATTTTAAATTGGTTTTAAAATTAATGATGTATTTTTTTCGGGACTGATCCCGGGATCCCGAAAGGCCCGGGATTGGAAAATGGGCTCGGGATTGACACCCCTGATTCAGAACATACATCAAATTTGACTGAGAATACTTTAGAGAGGTATTGAGAAACTTGTTTCGTTGAGTATTCAGCACCTTGAATTAACTATATTGAATTCCTATTCATCAAAAAATATTTAATTACTATGAAGGTAAAAACATCCCCAAAGTATAAGAGCAGCAAAGTATTCGGACACATGAGCTGCGAATATAAAAAGATCAAATCTTGAATAGAAAATGGCTTTTCGCAATTTAGCAACAAAAATAACTATTTAAATATGTGTTTCTCATTTAATACATAATACCAAGTTGTAGCATTATACGCAAAATGGCCTTCTAGAATTTGGTTCCAAAAAAATATTCGATTAGTTTATACTTTATACTTTATATAAATTTTATCTAGATCCATTAAGTGGTTTTTGAAACTGCGCGCACCTTTTGAGTTTCGCACGTGGAGCGGCCAAATTAAATCTTGGTTGTAACCCTAAATCTGGCGCAATAAGTTAAATTGTTGCCTAGTGTGTAAAACAGCAAATATTATTTCTGTCTCTTTTTGTTGTACTAGATTCGTTCTGCAATTGATTGTGTGAATTCTCGGACATGCGCATAAGACTTCAAGTGCTTCTCAGGCATGCGCATAAGACTCCAAGTACAATAAAAAGAGATAGATGGGTATATGTCTGGACCCTTGCACTTTCATTTTTTTTCGTATTCAACTAGCAATATTTGTATATTACTCCTATATTGAAGTATCTAGTTCCTTTGAATTGGGTCCGGTCGCAGATCCGTTCCAGCGGATCCGATTAATGGTAATAATACCAAAATTGTTTTTAGATTTATGGGTTAAGAAAACACTTTTATAACATTTACATAACATGTTTTTACTCTTGGAACAATTACAAAGATCAAGCGAAAGAATTTGACAATCAAAACCGTTGAGTGAAAAGTACCTACTACTGGGCCATTCCACGCTTAACGGATAGGACAGTTGCCGTGTTTTTATTTACAAAATAATATTGTTCTATTATATTACCAATGTCAAATTTTTATAAATAGTTCTAAACTAAAGCTGTTTAACAAGGTTTTTATTTGGCAAAATTAGGTATCGTGATTGACTGTTTAATTTCTTAAAAATTAATAATTTAAAGCGTAACGGACGGGACTATTACAAAGTAGTGACCCTGCCCCACCTGACTACGATAATGTTCACAGCTGCCTGTAAATAGTGTCTTAAAACTATTTCAGGGTTGCCAAGTTGGGGGATTTTTATGTGGACGGGGAAAAATTTGGGGGATACTTTTTTCTGGGGTATTTTTTGGGGGAAGTATTATTATTTTTGGGGAAAAAGGGGGATTTTTTTATGATTATAATTTATTATATTAAAAACCGAAAGATATTGAAAATATTATGCCATCTCTTTTCTCAGCCAAGTACCTACTATTAAAAAAATACAGTTTGTTGCAAATGCGTTTGTTCAAGCGCTAAACGATCAAAAATGTTTTGTTTTGTTCTAAAATAAAATTGGACAACGGGGATTCCCCGTGTATGAATGATTTTAATATTACACAACAGGAGGCTAGAAAAGGTTAGGCTGTTTTCGTTAATAAGTGTTTTCGTTAATTCGTTTTGTGTTTTGTGAATTAGAGAATTAGAATTAAAAATTTAAAATATTTAACCTACCTACTTTAAAATAAACAAGATTTCAAAAAAAAAATAATATAATTTTTTCACCTCATACCAGCATTCTTTCGCTAATTACTAATTAAAATTGGTATAATTTGAATCATGACTCATCTTGTTCAGTGAAAGTACGCACGTGTCAGTCAAGAATAAAACTATTTTTATTTGGGGGATTTAATGGTAAAATAGTGATTTTTGGGGTATTTTTAAAATTCTTTGGGGGAATTTAGGAACAACCACCTGGCAACCAAGGTAAAATGAAAAAAAAAGATTTTTGAAAATTCCAACTGCAAGTACGTAACTCCCTAAACATAAACATATTTATGGATACGTCATAAATGGCTTACGATAAAACTCCCCTTTTTAAAGCTAACCAAAGTTCTTTTTAAATAACCCCAAGTCTGATAAAATGTACTAACCTGATTTTGGACAGTAGAAGTAAGAAGATGTTTCTGCAACACCAGGGGATCGCGTTCCTTAAGTATGGCGGCGAATTTTCTGGAATCTGGAATTGGCACCTTCGGAACCCTATCACCGAGCACTGTATCGAGCGGACTGGATTTTTTGGGCGTCCTTTGACTAGACGAGGACGACGACGATGCCGTTGAGTCCTTTCTTGCACTGTTCGCGGTTCCGGACGATTTTTCCGCACTTTTTGCGACAAACTGCAAATGCAGATCGTGGATGCGCGAGTTAACTTCGCCGCGCTGCGTCACCACCGCCTTCAGCTGCTCCTCCAGGTCCTGTTTAGCAGAAAGCAAGTTCTCCAGGTCTTCCTGGAGGCGGGAGGTGTGGACGCGGCCCGCGAGCACCTCGGCCTCCATCTCGGCGAGCCGGTCGAGGAGGTGGTCGCGTTCCTTGCGAAGCTGTCGAACATCGTCAGCGGACGCGTGGAAAAGGGCGCGTTGGAACTTGCCGCCTTCAATTTCGTCCTCGTCGTCTTCCAGCTGAGAACGGTCCCTCAAGCTGCCTTGCAATGCTTCCACCTCATCCTTTAACCTGGTGCCCTTTCGATGGATCACGTCCAAAAGGTTCCATAGCTCGTCTTCGGCCTCGTCGATTTCAGGTGCACCTACAATTGTAAAGTAGTCAGTTGTTAAAATAAATGTTGGCTCTTGTTTTTACAGTAAACTAAGAAACATTAATGATACATTACAATGTTTTTAAAATAATGCAATTAGAAAAGAGAAACTAAAGCATACCTATAAAAATATATAAATTAATTAAAATCTTATAAATTATTAATTAAATATAAATCACCAAACTAACGAATATTTTTTTACGGTTTTACCTAATATTACATTAATTTTGTAATATCTTTGTACAGTGTACAATGTACACCCTATTTAATTCAAATATCCGAATACTATTTTCTAAAAAAATTAAAAGAAAAAAGCCGTTCAACTGGTGACGATGATGGTAAACATCACGATGCTGTTCTGAGAGGTGATTTTTGGACTTTCTGTGAAACCTAATTTTTTTTTATATTCTTGTTAATTAGGTCATAACTAAAATTTTAAGAGCAAAATAAAAAAATTTGACGGTTTGAATTGTTTTAATTGGCTGTTTATTAAAAATATTATGCACTCTTTCAATTATCCAATTAAAACTAGCGATTTAATTTAAATATTTAATATTTGCATAACTAAAAAAAAGGTTTTTACATTTTTTTTTATATGTTTTACTGTCTTGTTGCAATAAACGTTCAAACTTTTAATCTTACCTTTGACGTATACGTTTATTTTCCCTTAATTAATATATCCTTAAAGGTTGCCATGAAACTTAGATCTATTAAAAATTTATTTGACGTTTGAATTGTCATTTTCGGTATACGTATTCTATAATTTTTGTTTAGTTTTTAAAAGTGTTTTTTATAAACAAAAATGAAAAATTGTAGTAAAAGTTACGAAGAAATTCATGAAATTTAACTAAGGACCGGTTTATTCATCTTTAGTAAAGTTTATTGGGCCGATAATTTTCATGTCTTGGCAATATCTAGTATCCAAAGAAATTATTCGTCGAATAAATCAAAAATGAATAAATCGGCCCTAAATAAAATGTGACACCCTTAGAATTATTGTTTAATAAATGTATACTATACATTTAACCTTAAATTAAAACTTTAAACGTGTATTACAACAAAACAGTAAAAGATATAAAAAATGTACAGACCTTTTTTAGGAAATTAACTAATCTTTAATCTGATTTAAAAAGTTATGATAATATTTAAATAAAATCGCAAGTTTTAATTGGAGAATTGAAACTGTGCATATTTTTAATAAACATCCAATTAAAACAAAATTAACCGTCAATTTTTTTTTATTTTGCTCTTAAAATTTTAGTTATGACCTAATTAACAAGAATATAAAAAAAAATAGGTTTCACAGAAAGTCCAAAAATCACCTCTCAGAACAGCACCGTGAACATGTGTTTTATTTATTTATTTAAAACTTTTTTTCAAAATATCTTAGCAACTCAAGTTCTTCTGTTGATGTTTATTCTCTATTTTTTATTTGTTTGCCATTTGCACCAAGATTGTATTCGTTACAGATACGAATTACGGATACAAATTTGAGAACATCTTAAGTAGAAAAAACACTACATCTTAAGTAGAAAAAACATTTTTTTAACACTGTATTACCAGCATAGTCATGGTTTGGCTAACTAAGTCTTTTGGGCCGTAGTGGAATATACTGTATGCAGGTTTCTGCAATACACACAGTTGCCCTCGTCCTTTGGAAGGTAGCGTGTTTCGAGTGTGCTTACACACCACATGATTACCCGGCACTGAAGGGAGCCAAAAGACCGAAACAGGCTTTTTGTCGGTGCCTGTTTGTGTAGCATACTTAAGACAAGTTCTCTGAATTACAAAAATAAAAAGATATCGTCGCCTTCCTTACAAGGGGCTTATCTCATATTTTGTGATTTTTCAGGAAGTTTTTACAAAGGCAATTGTAGAAATGAACACCGTGAAAGTTACTATATTTCAGATAGGCCTTTAAGGTACGCCCAAGAAACTAACTCAATTTAGCAATTTTTTGAGATTAGCCCCTTTGTAATTTGAACTCGCATTCTTGCCACGATTGCTTCGCTCGTATGTCAAACGATTACTCGTTTATAATTGACCATTTTCTTCACTTTTTGCACAATATACTATTTTACTTTAAATAACCTCCTTATCGCAAAATATGGACAAATTACAATAGTTATAGTTAGCCCAGATATTAATCAGTTTTTTAAATCCGATATGAACAAAAAACTTCATTAACATTTCATTATTTATTTCAGCTAATTAAATGTTTGCAGTTAACGGTTGTTAACTTAATTAATGATAAAATAAGTATAATAAAAAACTTTTACTTCCATATATTACCATAAAAATATGCAAGACACAATTACCGAGCAACTGTATTATCAGAAAACTGATATAATTATTTAAGTTTCTTTAATTGAAATTGCAAATTACTTTTGGATCGAAGCGGTTTTATTTAAAATATAAAAAGAAAGAAAAAATTGGTAATTTATTTTGAAAGCATAAAGATTTACAATGGCGTCACAGCTATTTTTATCATTACGAAACAAGGATACTATTAAATATTATATTATTTGCAATATAACTGTTTCAAAACAATGCAACACTTAGGGCCGGTTTATCAATCTCTAGTTAAGTTCCAGTTAGTCTATCTGACAGTTAAATTCCATATCGATTGTTGTGAGAACAATGGTAACCATGGAAATTATCTACTAGATAATAAAGTAAAAAGTATTTACCATAAGAAGTAGGTATTTGTTTATTAGCAATAAATTTTGTTTAAATCGTGTAAATCCTTTAGGCCGGACTATGTTTTAAGAAAAGACATGACTGTGACTCACTGATTTTCTCGTAACAAAGGATGTTAATAACAATAAATTTATAATGCATTTTAAACCTTACTATAGGATAAAATAAATGATTGCACAGAAACACATGCGTACGTAATCACTGTGTGAATACAAACGTGTTCTACTTCCTATTTTGACTTCTTAAAAAACTTAATTTTAATGTTTTTGCAAGCCGATTACTGCAATATTAATTACAGTCTTGTATTAAAGATAGCGAGTAATAAATAAATCGCGATAAATTACAAATATGTAATTAGATCTTATTCAATATTAATACCATAATACTATAACTTATGTGCTGATTGTAAGTCACTTAAGCACATTAAATTATTATTACTTTATTAAATATAATTTACGATTTACGAACTGAAGTAAAATTAAAGAAAGCGTATTATGTAGTTTAAATATAGAAACTGTTACGGACGTAAATTAATTAAAAAATGTGGGACATCCTCTTTTTATTTAACAACATCGATAATGATGATATTGACAGTTTCAGTAAAATCTTTATCTGTTAATTTTGTAATATAGGTACTTAAGTATATTTTTGTAATTATTTATTATGATCCGTCCCGATGTTACTCATAGGTAAATTGTTAAAACTAAACAAATAATTTAATTTTTTGTAAACTGTTTAATCCATATTCGGAATAGCTAAAATTACTCTTTTGACATTTTCGTATAGATTTTAAATATTTAATTTATTATTTTCATCTTCAACATCAAATAATACGTTTTTGTTTTAAATAACAAAGTTAACATATTTTTGCTTGACACAAAAAACAAGATACCTATGCCTTTATGTATTTTGCCATCAGAAAAAAGCAAGTTTGGACCAAATTACATTCCGGAAAGAGATCTTACGTTTGGGCCCCAAACTTGTGTAATTTGTAATAAGATATCTTGTATATACAACGTTTTATTTTTACTAAATTGTCACTGCGGAATTCGCTGTCACGGCACACCGTTATTTATTTATCAAACTCTTCAAATAAATTAAATTAATTATATTTACAGAATTATTGGGCTATTTTTTAAGTACGCTTTTTTATTTTATTTACTTATAGTAATAATAATTTTAAAAAATGTATTCTAGTAAGTTGGTAAAGTTAATAATATACTATAATATTGTTTACATAGGGGTTTCATCATGATACAAGGAAACATGGTATGCTACTAGAGAATCTCTAGTAGCATACCATGTTTCCTTGTATCATGATGAAACCTATAGTCCATTCCATTTAAGAAAAAAGCATTGAGTTGAATAGGATTTATCATAGACCAATCACGACCCTTAAAATTGTGGCTTTTTTTACACAGGCGAAAATTTATAACCCATCTCTTTTTAATACGTTGGATGTTGATATAACCTCTCTTTCTCTCTGATATAACGTAGTTCTCATACACTGAATATTTTCTTATACAGCGTTGCCATGGCTTCTAAAAACAAATTTACAAACTGACATAATAATATTATACAATAAACCAGCAAGAGTTTTTATAATATTTAAATTATAAAATTATATTATATTAGCTTTTGTCGGCAATTTGTCAAAAATATTTTAAATATAGAAAGAATTTATCTTTTCAAAAGGTTGGATTTATCGCACATTGGCAACGTCGCATCAGCTGTTATAATACAAAGTGTATATTTTGTTAATTTATTACATCTTCTGTGATTTTTTGGCTTTATTAAATAAATAAAGTTTATTTAACGTATTAACCGTTGTTAATAAATTTTTAATGAAAAACAGGTAAGTCAATTACATTAAAATCGCTTAACATAACCAAAGAAAAATATTTTTATATTTTTGAGAGACAATATTGATAATATGGACAATATAAACAATGTGGACAATGTGGAAAACCAACAATCTGTCCTAAAAAACAAATCTGGCCAATATATAGGACGAGGTCAAAGAATAATACTTTTTAATATGGTAAAAACATATCGATGAAGGAAAATCAAAAAGTGACAGTGTAAGAAACTGGTATTTCAAAAAGTACCATTTGGTTCACCATCAAACAAATGGAACATGACGGAAAGGCTACATTACAGAACATAAGGGCTACATCTCCATTAAAGAAAAGAAAGTGGGCAAGTCAATATGACAAATTAAGTGAGGAACAAAAGAAGCACCCAAGAAAAGTTGTTCATAACTTTTTTATAAATACCTAATAAAATACCAA